AGCTAAAAGTAGAAAGGCTGCTTGGAGAACTGAGTTCAATCCCTAGCACTGGAAAAAAAAAAAAAAAAGTCAGCTTTTCTCCTCTCCTCTACTCACAGTGTCTTCCTGGAAGCTTGCTGACGCCGATCTCCAGCGGTCACTTGACCTTCATATCTGGCATGTCTGAGGGGGGCATTGCTACCACAGGAGAACTGGCCATCACTCCTTCCTACAGGGAAAGGCAGGACGAAGAAGTTCGTTGTGATGAAGGGACAGTCATACTTAAATGTAGTCAGCTTGGGGACTACGATATCACTCAGTAATAGAGCACTTGCCAAGCCCTGGGTTTGCTCCTAGCCCTGCAGTTCAATGCCTGTAATCCTAGCTACTTGGGAGGTTGAGATAAGGAGGATTAACATTCAAGGCCAGCCTGGGCAAACAGTTCAAGAGACCCCGTCTCCAAAATAAGCAGAGCAAAATGGACTGGAGGTGTGGCTCAAATACTACAGCACCTGCTTTGCAAATGGGAAGCCCTGAATTCAAACTCCAATCCTACTAAGAAAAAAAGAGAGAGAAAGTCCAGGCACAATGGTCCATATCTGTAATCCCAGCTACTAGGGAGGAAGAGATTGGGAGGATGGAGGTTCAAAAAGTTATCTAGACCCCATCTCAACAAATAAGCTCATTGTGCTGCCTTGCACCTATCCCTCCAGCTACTCAGGAGGCATAGGTAGAAGGATGGAGGTTTGAAGCCACCCTGGCCAAAAAAAAAAAAGTGAAAAATAACTTAAAAGCAAAAAGGGCTGGAAGTGTGGCTCAAGTGGTAGAGCTCCTGCCTAGCAAGCTTGAATCCCTGAGTTCAAACCCCAGTACCACCAAAAAAAAAATTAATTTTGGAGGGAGAGTGCTCATCTCTGCCAACAGTCTGGGCCACCTTAAGACAGAAAATGTGTATGTCTTCAACTTGGTACGGCCAACCTCTTGTTCACAGTGGACCCGTGATAAACTTCATATTTCCAAGCTTTTTATGGAAGTGCCTAAGTCCACCAGGAAGCCCTCCTGAACTTGTGACTGGGATCTGAGGGCCTAGGGATATTCACTGGAACCTTGGTGAGGGCACAGCTGGGGAACCCGAGGTGCCAGGATAAATAAGACCTTAAGTCAGAAGTAAGTAAGCACTTTTTCAAAAGAGAAAAGGAAAGGATAACTGTCTGACCTCGCCCCACTAAGGGAGGTGTGTATCTTTACAATTTTAGGTGCTGCACAGCCGCAGGGTAATTTGGTTCACCCTCGAGGATGAGGGATGGAACAAGAGAACAAGATACACAAGCAGGAGACTGCTGCGAGCTCTGCCCAGCCACTCTGCCTCTTGCAAATAAAAAAAAAAAAAAAGGGAAAGTGAAACCAGCCCACCAAGAGTCACTTCTTCACTCCAGAATCCTCCAGAGTTTTCCACTCTACTCTCTAGGTCTGAGAAGGGCCATCTTCAGGAAAGGAGTTGAATCTGGAGCCAGCAAAACAAGTTCCAGTCTTGGCTGACACAAATGGGAACTCAACACCTTTTGGGTGGTCCCCACTTCTTTGGAGTGGAACAGCCCCTGTGTTCTAACTGGTGCTGTTACCCAGGAAACCAAGCTTCAGAGTCTGGTGGGGACTTCCCTTGATGGAGAAAGAGTTCAAGGGCCAGGACTTGCCTCTGATTTGTCTACTCCTCCTTGCTCTTCAAGCAAGAGGAGCTGGGAATCCTTGGCTGTCACTGACTGGGAAAGGCCCAGGGTCAGACTCTGGTCTCAGCATGAAAGCCAGGGAGGAGGCTGGTAATGGGTGTGGGTCTTGGAGAGAGGAGAGTGGGAAAGCCCTTGGGGTGGGATGAGCCCAGCTGTGAGAGCAGTGCTGAGGCTTGGAGAGGGGCTGACGAAGAAGGGAACTCCACCTGACTGTGTTGTCTGCTGTGAGCACCTGGCTAGGGCAGGAACAGATGTGAGTCAGGGATCCCACATCTGGATGGTGTGGTGTGGGGTCTGTAGAAGGGGTCTGCAGGAGCTGTAGTCAGAACAGAATTCTGGGGAGCAAGCTATGGAGGTGGAGAGAGGAGGGGAAGGGAGAGAAGAGGAGGGTTGGGAATCTGTTGGAAAGTGAAATTCCAGCCAGTCAAAAAGTGTGTCAAAATGGAAACTGAGACAGGGGCCCAGCCACCGGGCTCTTACTTGCATTACCGGTGGTAGGGAGGGGCCTGCGGCTTTCTATCGAGAGCTCCCCTGGCTTCTGTGGAGCCTTCGTCCCAGGCCTCCACCTCTGTGGATCTCCGGGAGGAGCGGTCCTGCGGGAAGCCAGGCGTGTGCACCTGTGTCCCCGCAGCCACGAGATGCTCCGGAGCCCGCGATCATTCCGCAGGCCCGCAGACAGGTGACTCCCTGAGGAACAGGCGGGATTCCACGGTGATCTGAGCTGGGAACCTCGACAGAACACTGTGTGTCACCCTGTGCGTGTCCACGGGCGATGGGTCCAACGGCACCATGTGGTGCCCCACCTGGCTGAGGCCCTGCACGCAGAGGTCCCGGTGGACACCTTTCCTGCCCCCTTTCCTGCCCTGCTACCCCCACTGTCTTGAGGGCGAGCTGAGAGGGGCTGGAAGTTCAAGTGCAAACAGGGGCAGGCCGAGAAGGAGCTGAAAGCCTCAACAACCTCCTGAAAATCCAAGGGTGCAGAGGCTGTTGCAGGAAGATTGAGCACTGGTGCCGGTAAGCCTAGGGCCAGCAACCCAGCGGAAATCCAGTAAAGGATAGAGACAGGCAGTCCACACCAAACAAAAGGTCAAACGCCCCTGAACATGGTAAAGGGTGCTCAGAATCATTAAAATGTGCAAAGTGGGGCGGGCGCCATGGTTCACGCCTGTAATCCCAGTGACTCAGGAGGCAGAGACCAGGAGGATCCCGGTTTGAAGCCAGTACCAGGAAAAAGTTCGGGAGACCAAAAACCCATCACAAAAAAGGGCTGGTAGAGTGGCTCAAGGTATAGGTCCTGAGTTTGAGCCCCAGTACCTCAAAAAAAAATAAGTAACTACTTATATAACATTTATGGTATTAGGTCTTGATATTTAGGTGCACATGGGAAGGTGTGCATAGATTATATACTTCTCTGTTTTATACGAGAATTGAGCATCCATGGAGTTTGATATCCACAGGGGGTCCTGAAATAACTAATTTCTCTCAGATACCAAGGGATGAGTATTTCTTTTCACCAGTATTTGTACAAAGAAACTCTGGAAAGGTAAGTAACACATATAGCTAGAATTCAGGGTAGAAAATAACACGAGTGTTTTCACTTTTCATGTCATTTTTTTAAACCACCTACTCGAAAGAATTTTTTTAAATGAGGGCATGATGGTTCATGTCTGTAATCCCAGCTGTTCTGGCGGCAGAGATCGAGAGGGTCATTGTGGCTTGAGATCAGCCTGGGCAAAAGGTTAGTGAGACCCCATCTCAACCAACAAACTGGGTGTGGTGGCGCTACATCTGTCATCCCAACTACGTGGGAGGCATAAGTAGGAGAATGAAAGTGCAGGCTGGCCCAGGCACAAACCCCTGTGCGAAAAATAAAGCAGAAAGGCCTGAGGGAGTGGCTCAAGTGGTAGAGCACCTGCTTAGCAAGGCCCTGAGTTCAAACCCCAGTATCACACAGAAAAAAAAAGAGATGAAAAGCAAGTTTCAAGGTCTGTTCAATGCCAGCCAGCTATAACCTAAGTAAGAGAAACAAATGGAGACTGGAGGAGTGGCTCAAGCAGTAAGAGCTCCTGTCTTGCAAGCATGAGGCCCTGAGTTCAAACCCCAGTTCCAACAAAGTAAATAAATAAATATAGACGTTGCCTGAGATGGACTAAAAAGATCGAAAAAGATGGAAACGGCTCCCTTTGGAAGAACAAAGGAGATGCTGTCTATGAAATTATGAGCCAATCTGGGCAGGAATAACTGGAGTCCCTCCTTTACAAAAGAAACGTATGTCAGTGTTTCATCCTCAATAAAAGAACAATATTTATTTCACTTTAAAATGCTTTTAAATAACACTTTTCCTATGAGGAACTCAGGTGCACACACACATAGAACTTTTCATTTATACCAACAAACTTTCTTAATACTTGTAATTCTTTTCCCAGGGGCAGGGAAGGGCCTACGAGGCAGGGGGAAAAGGTGACAGGTGACAATGAAGAAAGAGTCAGGAGAGAAAGAGCAGAAGAAGTTTGATCAATGAAGGGCCTGCCAAAGGGAACAGCAGGGCCATTCGGGAATAGGGAAATGGTTGTAGGGTCACTTCCTTATGATGAACTAACACGTAACTCCCTCAGATCTCACGCTCTAGAAGGCAGGTGTCCGGCCATGGACTACACCCCTGATTTTTAGCAGGGAGCCTTAAAGGAGGAAGGCGGAACAGCAAAAGGAGCTGATGGGCAGGGCAGAGTGGAATGGAAAATCCTGGGAGTGGCTAGGGAAGAACTGAAGGGGGTCACAGAGGAGGGACGGGGTCAATCTGTGGAATCAGAACCTGAGGATGGTTTGGGAACACCAGTGGCAGTGGTGAGGTGGTGATGGAGATGGACCATGTCTTGGACTTCAGGGTCAGAGACAAGGGTTCCTTCCGATCTACCAAAGACAGTAGGAGGTGGGGCTGAGGTGAGGAGAAGCTGGCACTGCAGATCTGCACATGGGCCACAAGTCCAAGGCCAACAGGTCATGGAGGGCCTGGTACCCATGGAGAGGCCCAGGAGAAAATGCCTATCTCTGGGAGTTCTGCTTTGATGACAACATTCTCTGCCACTCAGGGAAAGAAACGTTCCAGGTTTCCTACTGGGACCATCACAGATTGGCGTTTTCTGGGCAGCCAGGCCTCTGAGTTCCTAATTACTCCTTGGCTATTCCATGGGTTGGTCAACACCTCACGGCTGGTTGCCCTGCAGAGAGAGTCTGCAGATCTCCAACCAACCCTCAGAAGGTGGAGGAACACAGAACTTGACCTTCACGTTCCTCTTACAGCACATGGTTGTTCCAGAAAAAGCGCAGCAGCACTTCAACACTTCTAAAGACAAACAAGAGAAAGGGAGGCAGTGCGCCTCTGCCTTCCTGTGGAGGGTCCTGTTTAAGAAAGAGAGAGACTTTAAAAAAGAAAAAAGCAATAGAATAGTCCAAAGCCACACATTCAACCCACTAGAAAATATTAATTCAACCCAGGCTGCAGACGAGCAATTTAGGAACTGTGTGAGCTGAAGGGAAGTAGGAATGTCTGGCTCATCTGTCCACTTCCTCCACACAGCCTTGGATGTCCCCCCACCCTGGTCATCTTTCAATTGGGGTAGTCTGCTTTTAGGGCTGAGAAGCCATTCCTCTGGCTTTTAGTGACTTCCCAGAGAAGTAAACAACAGGACGCGGGTGGGTGAAGAGGTGAGGGGTGTCTGAGCAAAAGTTGGTTGAGCAGTTGGTAACTGCCACTGTTTATTTGGGAACATGAGAAGGAGGCTGGGCATCAGACACAAATGTCCCTGTCCCCACCCACACAGCCCCTGCAGTTTGTCCTCCATACAGCAGCCCTGGTGCTCTGCACGGTGATCTCCCCTGGCTCCACCATGTCTAAAAGAAAAGTCCCTCGAGTGACTTCAAGGCCCTGTGTGATTGCCCTGCCACCCACTTCTCTGACCTCTCCTACCACTTTCTCTTCATACAGCTTCAGCCACACTGGTCCCTTGCTATTCTCCAAACACAATAGACACACTCCTGCCTCAGGGTCTCTCCATCACCCTCTCACACCTCTTTGAAGGTTTTACTCTGTCACCTTCTCAGTGAGGCCTTTACTGGCATATGGGAACCCCCTACACTCCACCTTTCCTCAAGTTATTTTTCTCTCACACATCCACCACTCTGAAAAACTGCACGTTTTGTTTATTGCTTGTCTCCCTTATAAATTCCAGGAGATCAGGAATTCTACCTCAAAAAATACACCATCAAGAAAGTGAAAGAAAGGCAGGAAGCCAGTGGCTCACACCTGTACTCCTAGCTACTTGGGAAGCAGAGATCAGGAGAATGGTGGTTGGAAGTGATTTGTGAGATCCTATCTGGAAAAAAGCCAACACAAAACAGGACTGATGAAGTGGCTCAAGGGGTAGAGCACCTGCCTAGCAAGCATGAGGCCCTGAGTTCAAACCCCAGTGCTGCCAAAAAAAAGGAAAAAGAAACTGAAAGGTGCTGGGTATGGTGGTGCACGCGTCACCACAGCTATGAGGGAGGCAGAAGTAGGAAGATTAGGATCTAAGGCTGGCCAAGGCAAAACTCAAGACCCTACTTCAAAAATAAACTAAAAGCTGGCTCAAGTGGTAAAATGCTTGCCTTTACCTGAATTCAAGCCCCCACAGCATGGCCTTGACAAAGAGTAACGCCCCCCATGAGTGTTATTATGACACACTCAGTGATTAACAAGAACCACAACAGCACAGGTTAGGTGAAGGGCAGCCGCCCTCCTACCTTGGAGCCCCGTGATCAATCCCTGATGCCAACCGCTTGTTCTGGAAAACCAATTAGCTATGGGCTTCATATCCTATCTTCCCGACTGCTTCAAGGAGGTCAACCCCAAGTTAAGGTACAGGTGCTCTTCCCTGACTGTGCACTAAACTCTCTTGGGCGGAGGCTCCTCAGACCTCACCCCAAGCCAAGGAAATCAGAATCTCCCAGGGCTGGGCCCAGGCCTCTGCCTTTCCTAAAAGTGTACAGGTGATTCTAACATGTCTCCTACCCCAGAGGATGTGGAACAGCTTTTCACACTTTACTTTTGCAGTACCGGGGCTTGAACTCAGGGCCTCCTGCTTGCTAGGCAGATGCTCTACCTCTTGAGCCGCTGCCCCAGCCCAGTTTTTTGATCTTTAATGTGGACACAGATGCCCTAGGGACCATATGTAAAGGTTGATTCTGATCTGCTGGTGGCATGAGAGTGGGCCAGACATGTTGCACATCCAACGAGCCAAGGGATGATCAGTGGCCTGTGCACGGACCACAGTTTAAGGTACAAGTAGAAGAATCAGAGTCACAGCTTGTGGTTCTAATGTTTGCTCTTCCAGACACCATTAATCTGTAAGTTCTGGTCACTCCTGAGCACCCCCACCACTGCAGCCATTGCTCTCTGTCTCTTCCTCCTTTCCACCTGGGGGGCCCTTGCTGGGGAAATTTACATCTCACCTCTTGAACCATCCTGTGATGGATGCTGTCCCCAATGTGTCTCAGCTGCATGGTCAGCTTCTGGATTACTTCCTGCTGGTGATGGTTCTGGCCAGTGCTATCCTCCTTGGGCTGAGAAAGAGGACTGTGATCTGCACCAACAGAATAAACTTCCGTGAGCTAGCAAAATCACTATCACCCATTACTAAAAACTTCGACAATGGGAGGGATAAAATCCAACAACAATTATCAAAAAGCAAAGCCTTCCATTGGAGTAGACCAGCTCTATCCAGTGTAGATGTAACTCAAACCACATATGTACATTTTGCCGGGGGTGGGTGCTGGAGACAGAACAGGGCATTGACATGTCCAACAAACTCTTTACCACTGAGCTACACCACCAGTCCTGCATATGCAATTTAAGTTTTTCCAGTAATAAAATCAGGTAAAATTAAATGTTAGGTATATATTTTACATAAGCCAATATATCTAAAATATCATTCTAACATATAACTAATATAAAATTATCAGTGATATACTTTTATACTGTTTTTATTATACCTAAGTCTACAAAATCTGGTGTTTTATTTTATACTTATAGCATATCTCAATTCAGGTATCAACTTTTCCCATTGAGACCCTAGGGTCAAGATCTCAATGCAAATTCTTGATCTGTATTTAGAGAGCATAAAGTTGACAATTTAAAAAGTAGATTCAAGAAGGGGAGGCACGGCTCAAGTGGTGGCATGCTGCCTAGTAATGCAAGGGCCTGAGTTCAAACCTCAGCACTGCCAAAAAAGTAGATTTACATATTCAAGTTGTTTCCAACAATCAGACCAAGTATCAGTTTTTAAATTAAAATCAAAACTTAAAATTCAGTTCCTCAAATACACTGGCCACGTTTCAAGTGCTCAGTAACCAAATGAGGGTCGTAGCTGGATCTTTTCAGTTTTTCAAAATAGATTTTTCCATTTAATATTTTGCCCACTGTCCTTGAATGAGGCCTCCAGAAACCACTGAGTGTTTTTAAGCAACACTATTATGTACATGCAAATTGCTGGGTGCTTTGAACTTCTGAAGAACAAAGACAAAAGAACTCCCAAGTACCTCAGGGATACAAAGGGGAAGGAAATCAGTCTAGGCTAAAGTAGATATAAATATTGCTTTGCAGACTATTTTCCCTGAAATGATGATCTATCAAGATGTGACCAACCTCTGGCTTCCCACCATCCTCTGCGTTTCCCACGACCCATCCTCAGCTCTTCTAAGAAAAAGTGGTTTTAAATTCTCGGTACAAGGAACGAGGTGGCCGAGTGGTTAAGACGATGGACTGCTAAATTCCCCGTGCAAAATCACGTGGTTTTCCCCAGCTATGTGCATAGATGTGGATTTCACATCTATAAATCTTGGCTTTGGCAAATCAGTTTTTGGCCATCCAATGGCTTGTGACTGCCCAGTCCTATGTCCCAGCCCTCAGCACAGCCACTGAGAGGGCGAAGAGCTTCCCTACTAAGTCTTGCTTTGCGCTGTACTTAAGGCTTTTTTTTTTTTTTAAGTTTCCCTGCCAGAAAGTTCCCGGGGTCCTCGGAGCGCTTCCGGCACGTTGGCGGGGCCGCGCCCCACTGGGCTAGACTGCCGCGCAGACGGTTAGCGGAAGGGAAGAGCGCGCGCTCCCGGCGGGTGGGCGGGGCCGTCACGTGGGTGGACGATAGCCAATGGGGAGCTCTGGCGGCGGCGCGCCGGCCGAAGGCGGAGCTCCGGGATCGGCAGTAGCGCGCACGTTGCTCGCCCCCGAGCCCCGGCAGGAACGAGAGTGGGGACCCCGGCGCGGTACCCCGGTTACAAGGCTGGGCGTTGCTCAGTACTGTGTTCCTCTGTCTGGCGTTCTGGACCCCATGATGACACCCCTCTGGCCCTCCATACCGTCCCGCTCAGTCTGCGCATCCCCCTTTCTTCACCGATCTCTTAACATGGAAGGGGAGAGACGAAGGCAACTGAGTCTGCCGGGCCAGGGAAAGCATGGGCAGGAAATGGAACGCACCTCTTAACTGAGGAATGCTTTGTTTCTAAGCGTTCGGCGGTAGTTGGTTACTCACCAGTGGCCAGACTAAACTGCCTGTCACAAATGCAAGTCTATATACTCGTAAGTGTACGTATACACAGTAGTGGGCATGAAAACAGACACACGCGTTAGGTTTTTGGCTGTCACTCCATAAATTAAGGTAGTAGCATTCATTAATTCTTCTTTCCTGGGCTTCTGAAGCGTTTTAGGTAAATGTGGCAACCCCTGGGCATCTGGGAAGACAGCCACCAGCTTCGCAAGCAAGCCCAGGATGGAGCGGAGGGGCAGAGAATGTGAAGCCACATAGAAAGGGGTTACAATGAAAAATACAAGTTCTAGAATAATGGTGACAATTGCACGGCTTTAAGAGTATACTAAAAACCGCGATATCGCACTGTAAAACGGCGACCTTCGTACCGGGGCGGGGCTCAACTGGTAGAGCACCTGCCTAGCAAGCGCCAGGCCCTGAATAAAACCCCAATACCGCCAAAACTTAACGAGTGAACTTCATGAAATAAGAATTGCATCCGATAAAAACACATATATAGCTACTTGGGAGGCTGAGATCAGGAGGGTCGCCGTTCCAGGCCAGTCTGGGAAAATAGTTCGAGAGATCCCATCCCCAAAATACACTGACTAAAATGGACCAGAGGCGTGGCTTCAGCGGTAAAGCGCCAGCTTTGCAAGCTTGAAGCCCCGACTTCAAACCCCAGTCTTACACAAGCAAGTTGCATAGTAGTTTGAAGTTAATGTCAGTGGCTCTTTTGGTTTCCAGCATATTTCTAAAGAAAAATTCTGAGATCGCATTCGTTTCATTCCAACGCTCTCCTTTAATACCTTTAATGGCTTTAGTTGGCCAACCTTCTGGGATATTTAGGAATCACATGTTTTTACAAAACAAAATTGCAAATTTATCTTTCCTTCCTGTTCTTATAGTGGCAAAATCAAGAAGGAACCTAATTTAAACACCTGTAAACAATACAGGTGTTGTCAGGTTAAATTTAAAGATAATTTTTTACTAAAAAAAAAATGTGGCCGGCACCAGTGGTTCACACCTGCAATCCTAGCTACTTAGGAAGCAAAGATCAGGAGGATCTCGGTTCCAAGCCAGCCCAGGCAAATAGTTTGCGATACTCTATTTCGAAAAATCCTTCACAAAAAAAGGGCTGGTGGAGTGGCTCAAGGTGTAGGCCCTGAGTTCAAACCCAGTACCACAAAATAAATAAATATGATGTATTTTAATAAATTTGGAGTTATCCTAATTAGTTATCACATCAATGATTCAGGGTTAATAGAAAGTAAGAGATTTAGTATCATAAACAAAGTCAGTTTGAGGTTTTGACCGATGGAGGAAGAGATTTACCACTGTCTTCTTAATTTTTAAATAATACGTGTCAGGCCCAATTTTATGTCCTCAATACCAAGAGCAATACATGCTAAGTAGAATATTTATCTTAGTTTAACGCTAATATCTTACCTGGGTTCCTCGACATGGCTGAGACCGGCTGGGAGCTGACAAGTTGAGTCATGTATGCCTTCTGCAAATTATATTTTGCCCACAGTGATTTGCAACAATTTGTTACTTTAAGAGATAAATTCACAACTTCTTTAGGTTCATAAACAATGCCATCATGTTTTTCCTTTTTCATGTTTTTTGCCTGTTAGGAAATATATTTTCAGAGAACGTCTCTGATTTCTCAGTAAATATTTGGTGTGTTAAAAGAACAGTGATGCTTTTGAGGCAGATTTCAGGGTCCACCTGTCCCTGGGCACTGAGACAGAGGTCTCCGTTAATCACTGTTGCTGTTAATAAACAGTTTTTATCAAAATCACCCTTTTATTATTTACTTTTCCTTTAAAAAGCTAATATGTTGGGCTAGGGTGATTTGACTCTCTGATGGACAGCTGTTAGACTCTTTCTGGTGTCCCAGCTGCTTTGATGGAGGGACTATCAGCCAAGCAGCCTGCCCAACAGTCCTTGTGCCAGCCCAGCTGCCATGAGCACTCCACAGGCACCTTGAGGAAGCTACGCTGAAACCACGGTTGCCTGCTGCTGAAGCCCACCTCCAGCTCCTGAAGGCACTGTCCCTGCCCACTGTTTCAAACAACCTGCCTTGGGCTTTTTGCCACCACAAAGCCTCAGTGAGCTCTAGATGTCCCTGTAGCCATTTCCATCAAGGCCAGAGGAGGAGCCCTTCCCTTAGTGGCCCAGCAGAAGGCCTGTGTCTGGTAAAAAGTCTTTTTTTTTTTTTTAGCAGCACTGAGGTTTGAACTCACAACCTTGTGCTTACCAGGCAGGTACTCTACCACTTGAGCCACACTCCCAGCCCCCCCCACAGTCCTTCATTTGCATGAGGGACTGTGCCATGATAGGTGCAAACCCAGTTCTTTTTTTTTTTTTTTTTTTGTCTTTTGACTTTTGATGTCTTTATTTTTTTTTTCATTTTTCTTTTATTATTCATATGTGCATACAAGGCTTGGTTCATTTCTCCCCCCTGCCCCCACCCCCTCCCTTACCACCCCCTCCACCCCCTCCCGCTCCCCCCCTCAATACCCAGCAGAAACTATTTTGCCCTTATCTCTAATTTTGTTGTAGAGAGAGTATAAGCAATAATAGGAAGGAACAAGGGGTTTTGCTGGTTGAGATAAGGATAGCTATACAGGGCATTGACTCACATTGATTTCCTGTGCGTGGGTGTTACCTTCTAGGTTAATTCTTTTTGATCTAACCTTTTCTTTAGTTCCTGGTCCCCTTCTCCTATTGGCCTCAGTTGCTTTAAGGTATCTGCTTTAGTTTCTCTGCATTAAGGGCGACAAATGCTAGCTAGTTTTTTAGGTGTCTTACCTATCCTCACCCCTCCCTTGTGTGCTCTCGCGTTTATCATGTGCTCATAGTGCAATCCCATTGTTGTGTTTGCCCTTGATCTAATGTCCACATATGAGGGAGAACATACGATTTTTGGTTTTTTGAGCCAGGCTAACCTCACTCAGAATGATGTTCTCCAATTCCATCCATTTACCAGCGAATGATAACATTTCGTTCTTCTTCATGGCTGCATAAAATTCCATTGTGTATAGATACCACATTTTCTTAATCCATTCGTCAGTGCTGGGGCATCTTGGCTGTTTCCATAACTTGGCTATTGTGAATAGTGCCGCAATAAACATGGATGTGCAGGTGCCTCTGGAGTAACAGTCTTTTGGGTATATCCCCAAGAGTGGTATTGCTGGATCAAATGGTAGATCGATGTCCAGCTTTTTAAGTAGCCTCCAAATTTTTTTCCAGAGTGGGCAAACCCAGTTCTTTATTTGCATGAAGGTCTGCCATGATTGGTGCAGATGCCCTTGCCACGCCCCCTTGCTGGCTATATAAGCAGGCTGTTCCACTGGCTTTGAGAGATGCCTTGTTGTGCTGGTTTTTGGTATTGCAACTTGAGACCCAATGAAAGGCTTCTCTCAGTGCTCCTTTCTTGCCCACTTTTTTTTCCCCCTCTTTGTGGTACTGGGGATTGACCCTAAGGACTCTATCATGCTTGAGGCCTTAACCTCACTCGCTGTTTATATTTTTCTTTGGAGATACAGTCTTGCTAACTGTTTGCCTAGGCTGGCCTTCAACTCTTAATCCTCCTACCTCTGCTTCCCAAGGACCTGGGATTACAGGCATGCACTACCACATTCAGCTTCATACCTACTTTTGATCTTAATCATGAGTGAGTAGGCTGAGCTGGTAACACAAAGAGAGAAGAAGTTGGTGAAAAAGCAGCCGAAGGAGGTGGCAGTGGTGACAAGAGGCAACTAAAGAGTTCCAGAGAGGATTGACAGAGTGGCTCAAGTCATAAGAGTGACTGCCTAGCACGTGTGAGTCCCTGAGTTCAAACCCCAGTGCTGCAAAAAAAAAAAAAAAAAAAAAAGATTTCCAGAGCATAGCCAGGGGAAAAACAACCAGGAACAAAGGCAGCCAAGACAACAAATCACTGTTTGAGAGAAGCAAGAGGGTGGCCATCTGAGATGAAGAAAAATAGAAGCTGTAATGCTCCTGGCTGTTGGAAGAGTTCCAGAGTTGCCAGGCCAAGGGTCTCAGACACACCCTATGCCTGAGAGCTCAAACACTTGCTGTAGGGCTGAGGGTCCCAGCACCCAAGGCCTGAGGAGACTTTTAACACTAGAAGGTGCCACCCACTGCTGCCTGCTGCTGTCTGCCACCAGAGCCAAGGATTACAAAAGCTGCCGAGTGCCCAGCCACTGGTGGCTAAGGCCCAGCACTGTCAGCCTCCAACCTGGAAGGTGAGGAAGGGAAAAAGCCTGAAACACCCACCAAGCTAAAGTCTGAAAGTCCAAAGAACGAAAGGCATTAGAACTAAAAATAAACCCAGTGAAGACTTCAAATTCAGACCTCCCCTTTGCCACTCTCAAAAATCACCCAGAGATAATGAGGAGAGAATAAACAAAACACCAAGAAACGCACATTTCATCTTCATTGGACTGGAAGGCACTGGCAGCTCCAGGGCATGAAAATGGAAGAGACAGGATGGAGAAGACGAGGGCAGGCCCCAAGAAGGGCAGCCTCCGTGCTCAGTGCTCGCAGAAGGACAAAGCAAGGAGGGGCGGAGAGCCCCAGGTAGCACAGCAGGTGCAGTGAGAAGAATGAGAGGAAGGACTGCATGCTGCAAAAGGGGGAATGTTGGAAATTTTCACAAGTGCTCAGACCCTAGCTCCCTACCCCATCTCAGGTAATCAAGTGACTGTTTTTACAGGAAAAATGTCACCTAGACTGCTAGACAAAGGGACAGCTGGCATGGATCACTAGGGGAACCCAACATCTTGCTACAAGAGAGGGATTAGCAAGAATGGAAACTGAGACTCCTGGTCCCCTCCCCTACTCGGATCCAGAACTTCACCTCCAGTTTCCAGGGGAAAAATGGACCATGCCAGAAAAAAAAAAGCCACAGATACTGGCATATGGGGGCTCATTGATAAAACCCACAGTGAATTTGGGACGTGAACATACCTTTTTTTTTGGCAGTACTGGGGTTTGAACTCAGGGCCTCCCACTTGCTTGTCAGGTGTTCCACCACTTGAGCCATGCCCCCAGCACTTTATGCTTTAGGTATCTTTCAAATAGTCTTGTATTTTTGTCCAATTTGGCCTTGGACTGTAATCTTCCTATCCTGGACTCCATTATAGCTGGCACCACAGACATACACCATCACAGTTGACTTACTGACTGAGTTGGGGTTTCATTAACTTTTTGCTCCAACTGTGATCCCAGTAGCTGGGATTATAGATGTGAGCTACTGCACCCAACCCAAAACACTTTTTAAAAAATTATATCTGGCTGGTAGAGTGGCTCAAGTGGGAGAACATCTTCTTAGCAAGCATGAGATCCTGAGTTCAAAATTCAGTAACCTCCAAAAAAATTACAATATCATCAGAGAAATATTGTATCCATGAAACAAGAAGAGGTGCTAAGCGAAGAAATGTTCTAAGAATAAAAAAGAGCAGTTGGAAATTACTAATAGTGTAATTAAAATTTTGCAAAAAAATTATGCATTGAAATCTTCCAAAATAAAAATAACCTCAAAATTGTTACAGGTCAGAAAAAAATCATGAGCATATTCTACAAGATAACTGGTCTAATCTTTGAGAAATTGGTACCACGGGGGGAGAAAATGGGAGACCCTGCACCAAATTAAGAGACTAAAGAAAAAGAGAACAAATGCAACACGTGAACTTTGGATCCCAGTTTTAAAAACACAACAAACAAACAAAAATCCCTGCCAGCCAGGTGCAGTGGCTTGTGCCTGTAATCCCAGCTACTCTAAGCAGAGATCCAATGGTTTGAGGCCAGCCTGAGCAAAAACTTATTGAGACCTCCATCTCAATTAATTAAACCAGGCATGGTGGTGCACACTGCCCTGGGCAAAAATCAAGACTCTGTCAGAAAAATTACTAAAGCAAAAAGGGCTGGGGACTGACTCAAGTGGCAGAGTGCCTGGCCAAGCAAGCGTGAGGCCTTGAGTTCACCCCAGTATCCCTGGTGGGGGCGGAACTGCCATAAGGATGACATTGGTGTGACTTTTGCCAGCACAGGCATAAAGGGAACGCCCTTATTTTTAAAAGTTGCATCTTTTCTTTTTTTGCCCCAGATACAAATGATTTAAAGTTGACATAAAGGAGCGCAAACTGACCTTGCAAAAGAGGTATACTCAGGTGTTCTTTTAGAGTTGATGGCGGCCCCAGGAGCTCTCTCTCTAGGACTGTGAGGTAATAACATTCGTCTGCATACATTATAATGGGTTTTTTCTTCTCCCAACCCCTGGCAAAGGCAGGTCAGTCCTTGCGTTCCAGATCAGGAAACTTAAGCTTCCTGGTGACTTATTCCATCAGGAAGGGGTGCAGTGGCCTCAGTGTTCTCAAATCCAGGTCATCTGGCTCTTTTACTCACCTTGTGTGTGTGTGTGTGTGTGTGTGTGTGTGTGTGTGTGTGTACTGGGGCTTGAACTCAGGGCCTACACCTTGAGTCACTCCACCAGCCCTTTTTGTGATGGGTTTTTTCAAGATAGGGTCTAGTGGAACTATTTGCCTGGGCTGGCTTTGAACCACCATCCTCCTGATCTCTGCCTCCTGAGCAGCTCGCCACCAGTGCCGGCCACTATTTTTTTCAGTACATAATATTGCATTGCAAATATGAATGTTGAGGCAGGATAGGATGAGGAGTCAGGGAAATCATATTTATTACTTTTAATAAATATTAAGAAGCGCCAGACTCAGAGGAAGTAAAAAGTGAAAAAACTCAGAGTAGCTACCACCTTCTTTAAGAGGTAAAGGGAGACACAGTGGGTGGGGGTCTGTCTCTGCCTCCCCCTTTGACATGTTAAGTGGTTCACACCTGTAATCCTAGCTACATGGGAAGCTGAGATTGGGAACATCATGGCTTGAGGCTAGATTGGGAAAATAGTTCAAGAGACCCCCATCTCCAAGATGACCAGAGCAAAATGGACTGGAGGTGTGGCTCAAGCGGTACAGCGCCTGCTTTGTAAGTGTGAAGCCCTGAGCTCAAACCCCAGTTCCACAAAACAATAATAATGATGATGATGATGATGATGAAGCTGCAACTTCTTCCACTAATAATGGGGAAAGAGACAAAAATCTGGCAAAGGAAAGTCCGAACGCTCACTTGTCCCTGCGTCTTGGGGAGGCCTGGACACATCTCCATGTTTCAGAATAATAAACAGCTCCCGTCTTCACCACCAGAACCACTGTCTAGTGATTAGGGCTTGCTAGACATGGCCATGTGTATTTCAGCTCAGAAAACACAAAGGCCACAGCTCAGCGCCACCACTGGAAGTCTCCACTCCTATTTCCTGCGTGGGGAGCAGGAAATGTTCCCCCCCACTTCTCCCTACATTATCCTGCCATACGAGGTAAACCCTTGCAAAACTTCCATCCGTGAGACTCTGAAAGCTCTTCACGTGTGGATCTCAAGTACCCGGGATTTTGCATGGAAACTGGGAAGCTGAGGGAACCCCTCATCCCTCCTCTGGTGACAAATGTCACTTTGTATTTTCATGCTTCGTCTGTACATTCACAAACACTACGTACTCCATGTGGGCATCACAGCTCCAAACCAGCCAGGGCAAGGCTTTGCTTGGGCTCATGGTGACACCAGAGGAAGCCTTCCTGAATTTACCCAGTTCCCACTATTTATCTTCTTACTTATTTGCATGTTTTTCTTCCTGAAGTTTCTTAGAGGTGAGAGGCCAGGACCCACGCTGTGCTGAGCAGGTTTTGTACTGTTTCTCACAGTGGCTGGGGGTGATGGGAGCCTTTGCACAGTCACTGGTTCAAACAAACAGTTTGACAAATATCTATTTTGGGACCTGTGTCTTTGTCTTCCTTTTCAAATGTGGTTTATTTCAAACTCATGCAAGGTTGCAAAATTCCTGGCAGGGTTCTCGGTATCAAGTTCACAAACCATCAGAGCTGGCACGTGGCCTAGGGAGGCCGGCCTGCATGCAAACCTGTAAGAGGACGATAGTGAGATAAACGTGTTATCAGCTTACACCAGCCTCTCCTGGAGCCCCGGGACTCGAACCTGCTTTCCTGGCTCCCCTGGGCTTACTCCCCGCAGGACTTCTATTTACAGGGGTTCCTTTGATTCCGGACTCTCAAGCCCAGCATTCTGGGGGTTCAAAAGAGTTAAGAGTTTTGAGGTGAAATATCTTGGCATGTGTTTCCCAATGGAGGAACCCCTGGACCGAAATCCCCCTATTATATGCTTCCTGCTGTCACAGGGATGACAGGTGTGTGTCACCACACCCAGCTTTTTTCTGTTGAGATGGGGTCTCTCGCAAACTGTTTTGCCAGGACTGGCCTTGCAGATCAAAGCCTCCTGTGTAGCACACCAGTGTGTCCAGCTTTTCATCAAGATGGGGGTCTCATGAACTTTCTGTCCAGACCTACTCACACCACAGTCCTCCCTATCTCAGCCTCTCAAGTGGCGAGGATTATAGGAGTCAGCCATGGGGCCCGGCTCATCATTTCTTCTTTATGTAATAGTTCCTTCAGAGCAGGGGTTCTGCGCCACCCGCTCTTTTGAGGTCCCAGGCCTTTGGACTGTGGTTAGAAGCTTGCTGAATTTGTAGATGAGTGGGAGAAAAGCCTACTGCCATCACATGAAACGCAGTGCGATGCTGAAACGGCAGACTTCACTAGAACACCACAGCCCTTCTTGGCGATTCACTCCAGGTACCGCCTCTCCCTCCTGCTTGCCCTTGGACTTTCTACGCTTCTCCAAGAGATCGTTAGCAAAGGGAACTGAAGAAAAAAAATTCTTAGAAATCTGTGCTGGGTCAACGTGCTGCCCCTACCCCGCTCCAAGTCAGATTTAATAATTATTTATAGGTATATCTGAGCACAATTGTGGTCTACCATTGAAGGCGAGTTTTCTTTCTAAAAGTCTCACTTGACATGTCAGCAGTGATCTAGAAATTACACAACCTAAAGCATTAATTAAGAAAAAATAAGCAAGAGCTGGGGGAGTGGCTCAAGTGGTAGAGCATCTGGCTGGCAAGTGTGAAGCCCTGAGTTCAAACCCCAGTACCTCACACACCCACACACAAAACTGTTAAATGCTTATTGTTTCTTTTCCTTGTTTTTTTTTTTTTTAAATGCAGTTCTAGAGTTTGAACTCAGGACCTACACCTTGAACCACTCCACCAGCCCTCTTTTGTTGTTGTTACGAATATTTTCCAGTTGGGCTCTTGTCAACTATTTGCTGGGGCTGGTTTTGAACCACCATCTTCCTGATCTCTGCCTCCTGAGTAGCTAGCATTACAGACGTGAGCCACTGGCACCAGGCCAGCACTTAGCAAATTGAATTATTTTAGGAGTTCCAAAATCTTGGGGGTTTTGTTGTTGTATTTACTCTATAGTGTAGAGTAGGAGGAAAGGCTAATTGGCTTCCGATGTGCCAATTAATCACAGATATTATTTTAAAACACTTTCATTCTTTACAGGCAACATTAAATGGGTTGTTTGATGCTAGCGGCGGAGGGTCTTTAGGTGCCTCCTGGAAGAGCCAAGGAGTTCTTGGGAGCAATTGTAAGTGGCTGTCATAGCTCAGCGATGACAAGCAAGCACTCTGGGTTCAGGTGACTTGTGTTATCATCCCACAAGCACCACTTAGTAGTAGTTTAGTAACTTGACACTACTTGTTTCTGTCTTGTTTTCTTCATTCATAAATCTGAGTGATAAAACCTATCTCCCATAGTCGGTGAGAAGTTTAAGGGTATGAAACATTAGAAAGAATGCTTTGTAATCTTTACTGGTAGTAGGTTCTAGAGTTAAGGAACTACAACCCAGCTATTATATGAACTGTATTGCCTTTTTTTTTTTTTGCGGCACAGGGATTTGAACTCAGGGCCACACACTTGCTAGGCAGGTGCTCTACCACTCGAGCCGCTCTGCCAGCCCTGTATTGCCTTTTGAATTGGCCATGGTGGCACAGGACCACTCCAGGTATGCCAACCTGACCTTAGAAAGGGCTTCAGTTTCCGACTGCACATGCATCTCAGAGAGTCAGGATTTGGAGATACAGTAAATTAGAAAGAAAATGACAAAATCAGCATTCACCTGTGCTTTCTGTGGACGTTACCCACAATCCATCTGCCTGATGTTTATTCAATGAGTACCAGGTCTGAAACACTGATATATGGTATTTTTTTTTTAGCGGTACTGGGGTTTGAACTCAGGGCACTCCACTACTTGAGTCATACCTCCAGTCCACCTGATATATGAAATTTTAACCCCAAAACGAAAGCACTTAGCCTTCACTGCTAATTGAAAGGCATGCTATGACTCATCCATTTTGGATGATGTATAGCAGGTATTTAGTATATCTTTCTGAACGCCTTTTTAAAGTTCCAAAATAAAAGCAGGGTTGCAAACACAAAGTTAAAAAAAATTAAGCCTGATTCTCCAATCTTTGGGCTAGTTTTTTTTTTTCTTTTCAGTACTGGGGTTTGAACTCAGGGCCTTAAGTCTTGGTAGGTAGTCGCTCTACCACTTGAGTCACATCCCCAGCCCTTTTTTGTGTTGGGTGTTTTTGAGATAGGGTCTTAAGCTTTTTTTTTTTTTTTTCAGGCCAGGGCTGGCCTCGAACTGGTATTCTCCTGAGTTGCCGGGATTAGACTGAGCCACCCGCGCCTGGCAGATAATTTTTTAAAGTTCAAACTCTACTAGAAACTGATCGTCAGAACTGATGTTATGTTCTTTCTTTTAGATTCCCTCGTTGTTTTACAGGACATGGACCCTACATAGATTCTCTTTTTTCAGTTTAAATATTTAACACAGAACACAACCAGCTTTCCAATCACTTGCTTCAACTTTGGTTCAACTTTGCTATGGCAAAAAACAAGAAACAAAAAAACACTTGAAACTCAAGGTTTGAGAAGTGTTTTGTTTATTTTCCTTTTTCCTGTGCCCAGTGCAATCCAGGAAAGGGGTTTCCGAACCAGGTGTTTCTAAGGATCCCGGGTAATTTTCCATTCGCCGCCCCCGTCCCGCAAAAGCGGGGGAGGGAAGGGGCCGTGTTTTCCAGCTAGCCCTGGGTCCCGGCGGCCAGGCCGAGCGGGGCGGGGCCTCCGCCCGGCGGGGGCGGTGCAAGGGCGGGGGCGGTGCGCCCCCGGCGGCCTTCCCGGCGTGCCCCGCGCGAAGGGGGACTCTTAATGTGAAGCGCCGGGTGACTCAGCCGCGTGGCCGCGCGGCCGGGGCGGGGGGCGCGCCGCTGCGGCACTACCGGTGTCCGCGGCGGCTGGTGGTGGCGCGGCCTGCGCGCGCCTCCCGAGCGGATTCCGGTCCCGAGGGCGGGAGCGCGACGAGGGGCGACAAGTAAGTGCCGGGCGCGGCCCGGGCGGTGCCTCTGGCCGGGGGGCGTCTCCGCCGGATGCCGGCGGCCGCTCGGACCCTGGATCGGGGAGGTCACGGTGGCCTCGGCGCGAGGGGACGTCGGCCGGCGGTCGGGGGTGGCGTCGGGGAGGGCGCCTGAGGACCGCGGGGACCGCTCGTCCACCGAGCCCGGTCTTCCCGCGGATTAACCTGAATCCGAGAAAAATGTCGCTTTCGGGACTTCCTCCTAAGCCTGTCCCGAGCCCAGAGCGCGCCCACCCCGCTCGGGGTCTCCGTTTCCCGCGCCAGCCCGACCCCGAGTCAAACTGACGGCGTCCGCGCTGTCTGACGACTCCTCGACTGGGAATTGGAGGCTTTCTGAAAATTCCTGGGTTGGGCCGATTTGTTTATTTTATTTTTTTAATAAGATTCCAGCGAACAAGCTCACAAAATAAACAAGGCTTTAGATGAAGTGTTTAACCAAGTTAGGGAAATGCATTTCTACCGCCTTTGATTCGCTGTTAAATCATGATCTGCCTCTGCAACCTGGGAAATTGAGTTTTGGGGTTTTTTTAATGGTCTTCCAAAACAAAGTGTTAGAGTATCAGTTGATGTGGTGAGTCTTAAACCAGACCCTCATCTTCAGCTCTCTCTCCCCCCAGAATAAAATCCTGGGCAGTAGTTGTCGAATGTAACTAGGTTGTGGTACCCGAGCACCACCCTAAGATTTGATTTTAGAGATGCGTGGCGGCCCCTGAGTCTGCATTTTAAGCAACGACCCCCTGCTAATGGAGATCCAGGGACCACACCTGAGAAATCACCATGGCCTGGGCTTTGTTTTTTTGGTTTTTGGGTTTTTTTTTTTGAGGGGGGGTGGCGGTACTGGGGCTCATGCTTGGTAGGCAGACTTGAGTCACTCCGCCAGCCCTTTTTGTATCTTGAGAGTTTTAGAGATAGGGTCTCCCAAACTATTTGCCCAGGTCTGACTTTGAACCTTGATCCACCAGAACTCTGCCTCCTGAGTAGCTAGGATTACAGGCCTAAGCCACCAGCACCGGGGTGGGGCTGGGAATTTTTTAAACTGCCGGACCCCCCTTGCCCTTTGTTGACTTAATCCTCCTCCTCTGACCCTAACCTGCCCGGAAGCTCTGACTCTCCAGAGGGCAAGGCAGTGTAAAGATAGTGCTTTCTCCGACCCTTGACATCAGAGTAGGAAATGACTTCCTACAAACCCTGTTAGGCCCCGATTCAGCTCTCCCTTTCCGTGTGGGAGCTGTCTCCAGGATCATCAGAGCTTAAGCAGTGCCATTAGGCCGAATCTCCCCGACCTGGCTCACTCAGTCTTCCTTCCCATAGAAGCAGGGCCATTCTTGATCTCGCATGCTGGTATACCAGGACCAGGACGAGTACCATTCATGAGAGCTTTTAGTTCAGGGGACATTAATTCAGTCACCAAATATCTGGGTGATGCCTCTTTCCTGCATAGTACTGGAGTAGGTTGTTTTGGCTACAGTATGGCAGGTAGGGCTGGTGAGACAGAAATGAGGGCAGACACAGGCATGTTGGAGGTGAGGGTGGGTTTGGGTTTCTGACTTTTGCCTGTCATTGGAGTCTTGATGTCTGGTTTCTCATCTTTTTCTGTTCATTCACAAATGTCATACTTTTCCTTCATAGCCTGAGCTTCCCAAGTTTTGTGACTCCTTCCAGTGCCCCATCTGACCTTCCCACCATGCCTTAGCTAGAGTAAAAAGTGTAAGGGAAAGGTTGGAATATTGAATGGTTTTTAGTTGGAAGACCTACAGTCATGGAAACATGAGGCTTAGTGATAAAAGGGACCCTGTTAGAAACACTTGAGTGCGACCTCATCTGTCAGGTGAAGACTCAGAGATGAAATGGCAGGGTGAGGACTCTTAGCTCCTAGCCTAATGTTCTTCCCACTAAATCATCTCAAGAAAAATGCTTCAAAAATGGAAAAGGTCAAGAGAAGTTAAAAAGAGTCTTGTATGTGACACTGAAAGCAGTGTTACCTTACGTGGAAAATGGAGGTGGAAAGAACACAACCTAATCACCAGTCACGAAGAGTGCGAGCACTAAAACAAGGAAGGCTTGGAAGTTTGAGATAAGTAGTGACAAAATAAATAAAAATAGAGAGCCAGCAGATGGCTGTCTTGTAAACCCAAGAGAGGTTAGGAACTCAGTAGTTTTAAAGAGATTTAATTTAAAAAAAATTCAGTAAAGATTTAAATATTTTGGCGATTTTTGGAGATGATATGCTTGACAGTGTCCAGAATCTTTTGAAGTCAATTTAAGTACACTGTAGTCCTGAGCAAAGTTGATACTGTCTGTGATGAAATGTAAGGCCACCCCATTTCTAATCTGCTCTAATAGGTTTCTTAATGCCTTATGGGGAATAATAGGAAAGAAATTTGATGAAAGAGGGCCTTTTGACTTTTTTTGCTTAAAATCCTCAAATTAGACTTTTTTTTTTAATGTGTGTGGTACTGGGGCTTGAACTCAGGGCCTTCACCTCGAGCCACTCCACCAGCCATTTTTGTGAGGAGCTCTTTTGAGATAGGGTCTTACAAACTGTTTCCCTAGGCTGGCTTTGAACTTCGATCCTCCTGATCTCTGCCTCCTGAGTAGCTAGGATTACAGGCACCTTCTGCCTGTTGTATTGGGTTTTTTTGTTTTTCTCCTGTCTCCCCCACACCATTGTTGTTTTTTTTCCTGGAGGTATTTAGGCTTGAGCTCCCGGCCCTACCTTGTAGACAGGTACTCACCACTTGAGCCATGCTCTGAGCCCTTTTTGCTTTAATTTTTGCCATAGGGTCTTACTTTATGCCCAGGCAAGCTTGGACCTAGATCCTCCTATTTGTCCTTTCCTATGAAGTGGAGGATAACAGGCACACTCCACAGCATCAGCTGTTGGTTAAGATGGGATCTCACAAACGTTTTACCTGGGCTAGTCTGGAACCACATCCTCCTGATTTCCATCTCCCGAGTAGCTAGGATTATAAATTTGAGGCACTGCGCATTTGTACCTGACAAATTTTAAGTTATTGGGAAATGCCGGCCACTATTGCTTTTTTTAAAATACAGTTCATTTTGAGATCCTATTTTATTTAGATTTAGATTGGCCTTTCCACTGTTCAAAATACTAGAGGTTTTTGATAAGAATAGATTTAAAATGAACTTTCTCTCTTTTTCTTCTTAAAATAGTGGCGCCTTATTAATTTTGGACAGCTTGGGAGTCTGTGGATTTGTGCCCACAGGATTTGTTTCTAGTGGTCTCCACTGCTAGCAACAGCTTCGTGGAGGGAGGCTGGGAGGTCTTTAGAATGAAAAGGCCAGCACGCCGCACCACGTGGACACCACTGTTGAGACCGCATAGCCATCCAAGACAGCTTCCTCGTGTTTATGCCACCTCTCTTTTTTTCCTTGTTTTCTTTTTTTTGTTGGGTGAAGGAGGGTGAAGTTTGGTTTTTGTAATTAGAGCTCAGCATTAGTTTTTTCAGGCTGTGAAAATGAAGGCTCACATTTGGTGGCTTGGAGGAGGGAAGTGAACTCCTCACGGTTCTGGTTCTGGCAGGATGACGTCCAAGATCACTTGTCCCCAGGGTTGGTTTCTTCTGAAGCCCCTCCCCTTGGCTTCTATGCGGCTGTCTTCCCCGAGGTCTTCACAGGGTCAGCCCTCTGTGCGTCTGTGTCCCCATCTCTTCTTAGAAAGGTACTGTGGCTAGGCGCTGGTGGCCACGTCTGCAGTACTGGCTACCCGGGAGGCTGAGATAGGGAAGTCAAAGTTCACGGACAGCCCAGGCTAATAGTTCGAGGGACCCTGTCCCAAAGTAACCGGAGCAAGGCCCAACACCCGTGGCTTACGCCTGTAATCCCAACTACCCAGGAGGTAGAGATCAGGAGGATTGGGATTTGAAGCCAGCCCGGGCAAACAGTTTGAGAGACCCCATCTTGAGAAAGCCCATCACAGAGAAAGGCCTGGCGGAGGGCTCAGGCGGTACGAGCAGATTCAGGCTGCCTAGCAGATTCAGGGATTGAACCCCAGGGCCTTGCACGTGGTAGGCAAGCGCTCTACCACCGAGCTGCACCCCTAAGCCCTGGTTTTGGGTGTGTTTTATTTTGAGGCTGTGTCTCACTGCGTAGCTTCCTGCCTCAGCCTCCCAAATGCTGGAATTACAGGTGCGGACCACCACTACTTTCTGCCCTTGTTTCTTTGCTTATATATACTTTGGGACTAATAAGCTGTTTTACTACTTTGTTGAGAAGGATGTGTTGGCCGTTGGTTTTCATGGTCTGGGGTTTGAACTCAGGGCTCTATCACTTGAGCCATTCCTCCAGCCCTGTTCTTTTCTTTTTTGGGGGAGGGGTAGCAAAGGTAGAAAAATTTATTAAGTGAAAAGACAAAGCTCCCCTGGGAGAGCGAGGGACCCTATTCTTTTCTAATGCACGCTTTAAAGCTATACATTCCCCCCTGTTCTGTCTGTCTTTAGCCTGACTTATCAAGTTCTGATACAGAGTATTTTAATTGTCATTCAGTTCAAAATTCTGTCCACAGCCTATTGGGGTTACTTTTTTGTGTCCAGAGTTATTCAGAGGGCTGGTGGAGTGGTTTCAGTGGTAAGAGCGCCTGCCTAGCAAGTGTGAAAACAAAAACGACAACAAAACAGCTAATTCAGAATGTGTTGCTTAATTTTCCAACTTTGGGGGATCTTCTTTTAGTAACTTTTTTTTTTTTTGGTGGGATTGGGGTTTGAACCCAGGGCTTTGTGCTGGCAAAGCAGTCACTCTGCCACTTGAGCCCACCCCCCCATCCAGGATATTCTTTCTTGGTACTGATTTCTGACAGACTCCAGAGAACATAACTGTGGTTTGAATCCTTGCAGCTGCATTCAGCCTATATTGCTAGAGCAGGTCATGGTCAACCTGACCCAAGTTTTCAAGTACTCTGAAAAAACCGATACTTTGTAATTGTTGGATGCAAATTAGGT